CAGTTCGAAAAAAAGCGATTCAACCGAGAACTCGAGCTAACATCCTTTCTCTCATTCTGCAATCATCATTTCATGCATATCCTATCCTAATATTCCCTTAACGAATAATGCGGATAATAAAGTAGCATTAACGAATCTCGCAGCCTGTGGCAGTTCCGGAAGGATTTTTCTAGATTTCCAAACGCGTGAAAGGGCAACTAATGTAAAAATTGTTTTCACCTCACCCGTTCACGTAATCGCGTTTACCTCCATCGGGCACGGATGCATCCGGCTTGAATGGCGCTCGCTAATTTGCTGTAAAACCGAGAGAGATTCCGAGGTGCTTGGAAAAATGATGAAAAAGATGAGCTACGTAGGAACGTAGTTGAGAAAGGAAGACACATGGATATAAAGTAAGCAAGAAAGAGAGAATTGGGAAAGAGAGAAAGAGGAGGAGGAAGTAACACGCGGCTTTGAAATTACCTGCCAACTCGAGTCTGAAATTTCATCGAGAACGAATCAACAGCTGGATCTCTCGCGATGTGCTAGAAACGCGCACCTATTTTCTAGATAAACTTTCTATCTTTCTTAATCCTTCCCCCCTCTCTGTAACTCTATCTTTCTCTATCTATCTCCATCTATCTATCTGTTTCTCCATCTATCTATCTATCTATCTCCCCTTCGTTCAAGTTCTTGCGCGAAACTTTCGTAGCGATGCCAACAAACAATCTCGGATGCTTTGAGGAAGTTATCGCGCGTTTCTCTCCTCGCTGTCGACTGCTTTTTCGATTCGGTCCGGTAAACCGCTAGTTTATGGACTCTCTTCTAACCAAACTCGAACGCTTCGCCTTCTTTGTATAATAGAAGTCTGCTATTATTGAGATTTTTTGCGATAAAAATTACAGCTTGCTTAACCATTGCAACAGGTGCACCAACCATCTCAGTTAATTAATATAAACCGAATTAACAGTTGTTCTTTCACAATAGTGTTTCTTATAATACAGACGAAAAAAATATAAGAATCGCAAAATTCGATATATTAAACCTTTCTTTTTACATTACAATTTTTCTTACAATAATACAACATACAGATGGAAGATGAAAATGGATCAGGATCGAGTGGGAACTGAGAACGGATATAATCGATTTGAATTGGCTGATTTTTCAAAATAGCAAGCCACCGATATTCTCGGGATGAATGAAACGTGCCCACCTTGACCCTTTAGCTTATCATTTCAGAGCAGAAGTAAAACGTTTGAGGAACGAGTTGCCACCGGTGGGAAATATTGTCGGCGGTAATACGATTCTCACGGTCTCTACCGCCCGCCGTCATTTCCCCTCTTGTTTTCGCGAAACTTTTCTCGAGGGACGTAAATTGATTTGTCGGCGTAAGAACTCTATGTCCGACAGCGCCTTTACTACGAGATAAACGTCAACGTTGCTGCGCAGGAACCACGTCGTTTATACTTCGTGACTTCCACCACGTGATCGCGGCCGGCGCGCTTTCCTTCCTCGCATTTCCGTTCCTTCTGGAACTCGCGTTTGTACTTCCCCATTGCTGGAAAAATCTCTGGACGTGTTACTGCCGGTAATAAAATTTCCACGGACGTACGAGGGGGCGTATTACTCGACCTTTTCCCTTATGTTCGGTCGTCCGACTTTTCGATCCTACTTCGACTCTCCTGAATTTTCTCGTAAAGATCGCGAAGTAGATACGTTCCGCTTGTGATTCCGCTTGTGACCAGACCTCTCTTCGTCACTCTTGTCGTTAGTAAGAATATGCATAATGCGTACAAAATTAAACGTTGCGACGAATATTGTTATAAGAACACGTCTTTGCTTTTTCATTAAACATTCAACTGGCGAGAAAAGATATCATTGGAAACTCATACGTTGCATTAAAGTCAGTAATTGAGAAAGTGTTTAAGAGTGCCCGTTTCTGCTAATACATATATTGCATTTGCTATAATCTTAAAATGTGGGTTGATTGTAAAGGATTACCGTCGGCGTTGAAAGATAAGTCAATATTTACTTCTATTTCCAATAATCGAAATGGTTTCAAGAGCACACAATATTATACATGATAAATGAAAACGTGAGACGTTATTAAGTAAGAATCACGATGTAATTTAACTTTGACTAATTTTTATTTACTTGTATCGCGTTCTCAAATTTATAGCGTTTTTAACGCTTTCACTATCTTTGAAGGTGTTCGGTAGATCTTCGAAAGAGACATTGCTTACTTACTTCCTCACGGTTACGCCAAGTTTTATCGCATCCATGAAGGGTATTTCCTGAAAAGTTTTCGGATACCGCGGATTTCTCCCGCATCAGGGTACCACAGCACGATGCCTTTCTATCGGTAACGGCGTTTATCTTTCTCACCGTTTCTCTACAACGTACATTCTTCTTTCATTCGATCCAATATAATTCTACGATCGCTCGCTTTAGGTATTTCAGGATAAGCCTCTTGATAATTTATCGACAAATAGACGTTGCAGCAACAATGAATCAGCGCAATCGGATATAAAATATCCTATTTTCCTAACTATTTTCAAGATCATTAGTTAACAAAAAAAAGTTAATAAAAAGGCCTAGGACCCAAAATAGACGAATACTAGTAGGTGTTTATAGTTATTTAAATAAATAAATAATTTTGTATATTAAAACTTTACGAAAGGCACCTCTTATATGACGTATGTAATGTTGTCCCAGATAAAGTTGGTTTTAGCTGTTTTCGAGATTTGAAATATTTTTCTGCAATTTTTCTTCAATATTTCAGAATAAAATTAGACCAAAAAGTTAAAGTAGGACATTGTATATATATGAATTACATTAAATAATGTACGATAAAAAGAACATTGTGACATTTTGAGATCCTAATAAATAAGCTGTCAAGCGTTAACAAGAAAAATTTTATTTTTACATTCAGTCGATAAACAAGACTATTCTCGTCGAGGTTAGTGATTTTTTAGTATTATAGGAATCATTACGCGAAAGCTGCTGCAATCTATGCAATTATTGAGTAAATCTATTCTGGGGAAAATTTGATTCGTTAGTCTGAGCATCTATTTGAAAGCTTTTAGTTCTGTTGCGAAACTGGGAAGTTGTCATAGTGAACATATCTGCAGTGTATTTTCCATAAACTCGAATAGCAAAGAAGTGTTCCAATTTTCCGCTTCGTGAACACCCAAAGACTCGCTTCTCCGCCGCATAATTCTTAAACTCGTTGCACCGACCTACTATGGACCAGCCACGGTGAGATACGCGATATATATATATATACATATACATATATATACATATATATATGCCGTTATAAATGGAATAAGCACGTATATTTGCTCGCTCGTTTAAGTGCGCATATATATTTCTTTATATACGATCCAAGTGCCAGCCGGATCGTTCCATATAAAATTGAATTTCCATATTTGCCTTTTAGATAGATGGACAAAATTGCTTTTTTAGATTTGCAACAGCTCAATTTCTTGTGCTGGAATCGAATTAAATTATTGTATCATAATTACGTAATAGAGCGATTGTATTGGTCTAAAACTAAGAGGAAAAGAATATTTGCAATTCATTTAAAAGGAAAAGCAGAATTTTCTTGATATTTACACATCGATATTGTTCCAATATCGAATTCACTAGTTTCATTTTATTTCGCAAGCTACGTTTTTACTTTTTATCTTTTTTTTTATTTGAAGAATTCTGCATTTGGAAGTCGTTGAGAAAAAAAAGCAACTCCATTTGCGCAATGTCATTTTTATTCGCGCAAAAGCTTGATGTAATGCAGAATTTTCTTAGCAATTGATATAATTATGCCTTGCTGGCGCGCTGTAGAAAGAATATTGTACAAAATATCAATACTAATTTTGTGTTAAGGACTTTTAATTACATCAAAAATTTCTGAGTGGATTTGTCTCTTGGATGAGACTTCTTGAACAAAATTCGTAAAATTCCCAAACCTGTTAATTTGTCAGCTAATTTTTTTTCTCTCCACTGACGAATAAGTTTGAGCGGAGCGTAATAGACGAGCGTTTTAATACAATAAAAAACGAACGAGCGTAGGAGTCTTTCAGAGGTCGCAGATCGCAAGCCCGCGGCAAAAAGAAAACAACTCTGTAATCATGCGCGATCTGCGGCCGCCATTTGTAACGACGTAACTGCGCGATTCACTGCTCTAAAAACTAAATGACTCGTAAAGTCGATGTCCCGCCGCTCCGCCTTACCGTAATGACACGAATTATTATACCTTGGCTAAACGCCGTCAAATAGCTCGGAAGAATCGCAAAGTCCGTCAAGCCCATCTTTCACCATTTTGTCCTCGATAGATATATCTGAAATATATCTTCTCTTCGAGTTTAATACAATCTATCTTCATTTGCGATATTTTCAAACTTTTATATTCTAGTAATAGTTATTCTGGTAATAGCCTGCAATAAAAGTTCCGGTCTTGAAAATAAAATTGTATGCATTGTCAAATGCAATATGCATCTCTTGCCATTCTGTCCGTTAGATATATTTGAAATTTATCTTCCTTCACTTTTTAATGCAATTTATCTTCATTTATTAAATTTTCGAATATTTATGGTTCCGTCTCTTTAACAATTGGCAAATTAAAAAATTATCTTCTAAATAAACTCGTTCGCGTGGTACTAATGCAATAAACACCTCTTGTCTCACTTAAACGTAATTCACATAACACACACATCTGTTTTCGTTTAATTTAATGCATAATTTAACTTCATGCGTATTATTTTCAAATTTGTATTTCCGTCTTTCTCTAGCAATTAAAAATTCAGCACGCTTTTTCCATACGGTTAAATTGAGCGAAGAGAAAAGACTTGTATGACTCATCAAGTCATATTAAAAGAAATTAATCGGTACGTACTCGAGTGTGGTGTTGTAGATTGGTCATTTTTATTTAAGTAGCACCTTTTGTCTAGCCGTCCAATTTTCCAGCGTATCATTCCGCGTGTACGATTCCTCGTAAGACGAGGTCGCATTTTCTGTTTCAGAGATCTCGCTCGGACGCTCAGACAGTGACACTGCAGGACGCAAACCTCCATGCCAGCGGCATGTACAAATGCGAAGTTAACGGTGAGGGGCCGAGCTTTAACACAGTCAGTGCCGAAGCGAGAATGGAGGTCATAGGTGAGTGGGCAGGTGTCGCGTTTAATTAATAATGCTTTGAACTCGACCGCGTCGTCGTCTACCCTTTGGTAACTCGACTAAAGAGTACGACGCGGTCGAGTTCGGCACAACAGCGTGCCAAAAGCGAGGGAGAAAGAGGGAACGGAAATGAGAAGTCGATACTTGCAGCTATCTTTCGTGATATTCTATCATCCTTGACGAGCCCGCCGAGGGTCTCGCTCCAACTGCGAATTCGCTAGGTACCGCTTTACACGTTCGTCTGGCTACAATGGACCGATTAGTTCGCGAAATTAACAGCAACTCACCACCGGAGTGCTGGCGATATCAGATTACAGCGTCGTATAAGTTTGCAAGTGCTACTGAGATTCGGTATTACCCGCAAGACAATCTAGTAGTCGGAGAACGTGGTAATTACCGAATGTCAGGCACGTCTTATTGGAATTGCTGTTCCTTAATAGGATTAAAGGAATAGTAAACACGTAAAGGACCGTCGATAACTTTGATAGAGAAATATATCAATTGAGAGCGATCGAGGGTGATCGAGAACAATTGTGATAAGACGTCGAATATAGCAATTTTAATTTTTACAGTTCTGTGTGATATTAAGAATAAGAAATTTAAAACAGTTACACCTTTCCTCTCTTTCTCTACAAATTGCAATACAATGTAAATTTCATATCTATTTCTAGAAATGCAAACTCAATACTTATTGCAAACGTGACACAACTATCGAAGTCGTTTGAAAAAAAGAAACGTCGCTTTAATGAACGAAGTAATGGCGAAGAATAATGAATAAAAAAATTGTTCATTCTTATCCAATTAATCCTTCCCTTTAAATCGAACGTTCTGTTCGTGTATTTCAGATTTTTTGTTACCTCGTAACAGGTAAAAAACGACCATATAATCGCTTCATTGATTAGATGGACAAACAGATAATCGTTTGCTCCACTGACCAGTTCAAGCGGGTAAACGAATAACAGTTTGATTGATTAATCGTTCAGCTCTTTATTTGATTGCGCCATCGAACGCACCGTACATACGCGTCCGTGCAGAGTTACAAATTCATCAATAATCTGCACATGAAAACGTCATCAGCCCCCTTTTTTTGTTTGTCTGTTATTCTTTTGTTATTTGATCTCTGTGCGTCCTGCGATTTCTGAACGCGTGCGCTTTTATCAGCTGCGCTACGCAATACAGCAGCGAGATACAGCATCGATATGCTGTAATAGTGCAAATATAACAGATTTGTTTTCGGGACAAAGCAGGAGTATAAAATAAGCGAGCGGGAGTAAAGCGGGAGAGAAGATAATGTTCTTTCCCAAGATCGCATCTCCGATTGATAATCGCGACGCGTGATTTCCGCGCGACACCTCGGACACTGACCGATCAATCCGTAGTGGATATACAATCCATACGGCCATGCGCGTAGGTGCGTATGCTGTTCTTACGAGGATCAAAGGAAGCGTATCTAATTATCTCAAGCACACGCTAGATGCGGTATCCGTTGCAATAGGATTATCATACGGTCAAAGTGGGCGATACCATAGTACATAGTGGCTCCGAGTTGGATATTAACTCACCTCAGCGTAGGCGGTTCGACAAGGGAAGGTAGACACGATTACGAGGGACTCGTCCCGCTATTGGCAGACGTAATCGTCTTATAATTATTTCGCCACAACACACAGTCCGCGTTCGCAAATGAATATAATTCGTGAACGGCAGAGTGTGGGCTGCGGTGAACGGATTTTGGAATTATCGCAGAAAGAAAATATCGCCGAGATGTGAAATTACAATGCGTAAATTAAGCGCATTTATTCTTCAGTTAATTCCTCAAACGGCTATCCGCTCGTGCGGAAGTTGCGTTGCGTTGCGCGAAACAAAAATAATTTCGCGTACGTCGTTAACAATTCAATAAAGGAGATATATTTCAAAACGGACGTGTAATTCGCCGGATGAAATGTAATTAATAGAATTTAATAATTTTATATTTTGTTTGGTCGATGCCAAAAAATATCAAGCGCGCAATAAGAGGGCCCTATGGGCCAGGAAAACAATTTTGATTGAAAAAATAATTACTTTTTATACGGTATAAATAACAGTTTTACCAGAGTGCTCGTAAAAATTTCCCGTACAATCGCGTTGCAGGAATACATATCTGCATTTATGATGTTTAATTGTGAGATATAATACATATCGCCCGGAATATCAAACGAATAACTCTAAATCGCGTTATGATTGGTTTGTTAATACGAGAGAGATAGAGAGAGGGAGTTAATCCGCGTGGCGGTCAATATCACGACCTCGCGCTTTTCAACGTCGCGTCGCCGAGACGTGAAACGTGCCAAACCGGCAGAATTCAGAAAGACCGCGCCGTTATTCCTCATCTCGTCTCCGTCGGTCGACTTGAGAGAAAGGGTGAAAAGGAACGGCAACGAACGCACGTTTTCGCCTGCGTTTCCGCGAAGAGCCACGATATTTGCCCGGCGTAGCGCCACGCCGCGCGCGAAGCGCGGGCGTTAAAGTTTAAGTGTGCATAAAGCCGTCGAAACGCGATAAATATTATGGCGTCGTAAGTCTTAAGCCGTAACTGGGCGCCGCCGAGGCCGTCGTGGGCTACGCCAAAGGGGACGGAAAAAGAGAAAGAGAGCCGGGGATGCTCGCGCGCCAGCGCTAGCGGGACGGCCGTCGAGGATGGAAGAAGGGTGGCAGGATAGATGGGGGAATTTTAAGATCGTTGTAGGAGCCTCGAGGAGGCTGTCGTCGTGCCAAGTTTCGCCGGCCTGTCGGCTTTTCGTCTCCCGCTGCATCTTTGCGACGAAATTTCCTCCCTCACGCTGGCCCGCGGAAAGATCGATAACCCGCGTCGTTCGCCTCGCGGCCTTTCATTCGCGATTGCAACGAATCTCGAGCCGTGAACCGCCACGAAAAAATTCAGCGTAATCGGATACGAGATACAGAAATAAAATATCCGATTTTCCATCGAATATATATATATAAGGTGGAATCGCACAGTTGGAGGATTCTGGATTTCGTATCGGAGGTGATTTAGCTTTTTTCGCTGTCGGACATGGCTATTCTTTTTCCTGTTTGCATAAAAATAGATATCTGATTGCGTTTTCATGGCTGATTACGTCTTACTTTCTCCTGGCGGTCGAGCTCCTGCACTTTTTCCCCTTTTTTCCATCTCATCTCTTCTCGCTAACGTGCGAGTTCGATCGCGTTCCCGGCGTCGAGCGAATGCGTTTCAACGGGAGTAAGCGAGCGTGAATTATTCGAATTTATTTCGTCGCCATGCCGGCAAGATGATAACTTTATTGCCAAACGTTGAAACATGTTGAGAGTTAATTGCACGGGAACTTGCCGTTCGTTCGATTAATATCTGTATGACCACTATCTGTCGTACCAATATTACTAAATTATTCCAACTCTGCAAGAAAAGCTTTTTTTTCGACGGCATCTGAAATTCTAATTATGTACATTTTTGTGCTCTCCATGGTAATATTTTTGTTGGTCTCTTTTATTCATTGTAAACTCGATAGATTTCATAAAAATTGGAAAAGTTTTTCTATGTTCCTTTTAAAAATGTTTCGCTCATATTTTATTCGAGCCAATCAAATGTACGAAATGACAACGGTCGTACTTTTGCACTGAAATAATTTTTTCCACAATCAAATTTATTTGAAATTAGCCGACCGGAAATAGAAACAAATAAACGGCGTTCATTAACTGGAAAACAATACTAACGAAGTTTCCAGCGGAAACGTCAGTCCTGATAGGTCATCAGCCGAAAGATGGTTATTGTAAGACCCCGCGTGGCTTCGTTGAATATTCCAAACGCAGTGTCGCGGTAGCTTTAGGAGCTTATCTGAAAGATGCACTTTTATCGGGATGGTATCTTCGAGAGTGATTTTGAAATCGATCGTCTCAGATTAACCTGCAATGCATACGGAGTCGATTTACTTATGTCAGAGGGGACGATCGTCGAAATTAAATTTAAATGTCAAGAAATTACATTCGTATTCTTGATATATAATAATATCAAGAATGGATCATTTTTCAAATTAATATTAAAGTTTAATTCACATTATTGTAAAACGAAATCTTATAAGATTTAGCATACCTACGGAATACATACATATTTTAATTCATTAATTTTAACAAGATTACTTCGAAAAATTAATTTTTAACGGAATTGTCCTTAACTTGGGAAGGAATTTTCTGGGAATTTTTACGCAGTGCTATAGAAATCTTGTTATTTTACACATATTTCGAACCTTTTTCGCATATAATCTAGCAAAAAAAAAAGAATTCGAAACTACACACCGCGCGAAACTGGTTTAATTCTAAATTTGTTACCAGAAACGCGCAGCCAGGTAAAAAGCATAAAATAATGTTTATTTAAAATAAAGATAAAAATTGAAATATATCAAACTTTAATGTGAGCTTTAGAAATGAAGCTAACAGAGAGCATCCCCCGTTCTCTATTCAGGCGAATTCTCCGTCTAGCGGAAAATATACGCGTCAAACAAACGCGCGTTCGGCCTCGGCTGCCGTCGTCGTAAATTTCGCGAGTGTTTCCCAAGCGAGCGCACCTAATCCCCGATGCATTCTTATGGCGCTCACTTTCCCGGCTTCGACTATTAATCGTGTCTACGCGACGGCGTATTGTATGGCCGCTTCATTATGGAGAACATTAACGCGGGCGGCACGTATACGCCAAAATTTAAAATGCACGAGATCTAAAGCTCGGTTAATAAACGCGTTTAGTGGCAGTAAAACTTCTTGCTAATGGCGCGCCCGACTTTATACGCCTTACCGCGCAAAGTTCCCAAAGCGACGCTGTTTTTTATGCCGCTGAAACAATGTGGGATTTAGTATCAGACGTCCTGGGCGAATAAGGCCGAGATAAGCGACCGCGTACTGAGAATTGTCTCTTCGTGTTCTTTCTTTCTCTCCCGCTGTTTGAGAAGGTAGTTTCTTTTGACTAGTATAAATTTTATTTCTGCCGAGATTGCTTTACATGTTTTACAATTTAGAATTACAGGGGGGAAAGAAATGGGCGTCCATGTTGGTTCCTTTTTTAGTACGTTGCTTATAATAGAGTCTGTAACGTGACTTCTTTTCATGTCATCTTAGAAATGAATAGTAGCTTTAAATAGAGGTAAAATGAACAGCGTCATGTCGTATAATTAACACACATGTACCACGTGTACGTCAAACAATTTTCTCAAATTGTTTCGCAGCACTACCTCAAGAAAGGCCAACGATAACCGGAGAGGAAAAGGTGTACGCGAGCGGAGACGTGCTCGCGCTGAATTGCACCAGCAGCAAGTCCCATCCTGCCGCAAAACTCAGATGGTTCGTTAATGGCCAGCAGGTGAGTGCAATAGTTTTTCGACGTTTATATTTCTCTCGCGGCATCGGGGAAGATGAACAACGCAGAAATATTGTCTCTGCGAGAGCCGAATATATCATCTTGGCCGTAGATAACGTAGATAAACAAACTAGATGACACGACAAAGTGAAAATGGAACGTTTCGCGAGATCGATGTTATATTATTGTGTCTTTGTCGAATGGGAGCGTTTACAGCGTGTACTCGCTGTCGCACGGATGGCCAGGCTTGCACAAAATCTATAGGACATGTATGTATAACGTTGAAGCCTGAAATAGCACGTGGATAACACTAGCGGGCAGAAACGGTCACGCGCTGGGGTCGGACTGGGTTGCACGGGTACCGGACCGGGCGAGAGAGCGGGCGACAGAGCCGGCGAGGGGATGGAAAACGGGAGAGAGAGCGAACGGCAAGCTGGTTCCACGGTAAGCCGACTGAGAGTTTGACCGTCGCGGCGATGTGGCTCGATTTCATCGCGTAAGCAACAGCGACGCTTGATGAGCCAAAGCTCCAATTAACGACCGGCGAAACGGATCCCACGTACACAGCTGCACCGGGCCGGTGCCACCGATATTCAGCACTGGGAAGCTTCTGATGCGCGATCAGTGATACGCCGCGGTTTTGCCTACCTATTATTCTCTCGCCGTCAGTTCCAAACTTGCCCCGTTCTGCGGCCCCGCGGAGATGATCGCGAATCGGGCGAAGGAGGGTGAAAAGCGCGCCGTCCGGAAAGAGGCGAGCCGAGAAAAAAGCCGCGGCTCTCTAATTAATCCGCGCGAGAGAAGGGTCAATTTGCGTTTGCGACGGAGGAAGCTACCCACCGGGAGGCGAATGAAGGGTTCGCGCGCGAGAGTCCTCCGCTTAATTGTTATCCTCCTCCTTGTGCTGCACGATCATCCCGGCCGAGTCCGGAAACGGATTTTATTCTTATCCCGCTCATTCATTTCGCTCGTGTTTTTAAACCCAACTCGCTTGCTGTTTCGTCGGTGTCTGCTTCTCGTGCGGCGAACGGACACGCGATAAATCGACGGAGGGACGCGCGTGCGAAAGAAAGAGGGAGAGAGGAGGTTCTATTCGGCGCATGGGATTTTTATTTCTCTCGTTTTACGTTATTATTACAAAGTTTCCTTTCTCTCGCCACGTCACGAATAATTCAATCCTCCTATCGCTCGAGGCCGCCGAAGCTTCTATCGCATGCATATTGATGTATCGTTATCGGCGTTGCCGGGTGAAGAAAACCCAGACGTACTTCTTGGCTCTAAGCGAGAATAGGGAAGAAGTCCGATAGAATCATCGAAGATAAATGGCGAGAATATCCTCGGTCTTCTTTTTTTTTAGCCGCGTCAAATTTTTATAATTATTTTCATCTGTTCTGTTAACGAGGGCGACGGGAACAGGTAGACGCGCCGGGAATAATATCTACGGAGATAAGTAAAGCCATAAAGAGAACGCGAATTAATCTTATCTTAAGCAGAAGGATTACCGCAATTATAACTTGGACGGAGTGGAAAAAAGTGCTAACAGTTTCCGCTGTTTTGTATACTTACAATTAGATTAACTTAAGTATACAGCGGAGTAAGTGTTATAACTGTTTCCCTCGCGCGAGGTACCCTCCGAGGATCGCAGCACTGCCGAAAACATGAAATTACGGCGCCTCGAGAATATTCAATTTGCGAAACTTGAGACGGGGCCGTCTTTTTCGCCGTTTACACGAGAGATTACTCGTCGGCCGCGACGGGCGGGGGCGGAACCACGCGGGGGGAGTGTCAATAAACGACGCTCTTACGTCGAGAATAGGCAAATCACGTCACGTAAAGTGCAAGTGCTTTCCGACGAAGCTTTAAAGACCCCGAAGATTACGCCAATATAACGAGCGACGCTCCTTTAGAGCCCCGGCAGTGAATCGCATGCGGCGGTGCCGAAACTTTCTTCCTTATCTTTCGGACTCCGGTCCTCCTTTTCCGCGGGAACACACCTCTCGCTTATGCTTCCTCCTCTCCCCCTCCCGAGCCGTTTTCCCTCCGAGAAAACTTTGCAACGCTCCCAACGACGTCCATTAGAAGTTGCGCGAGTTTAGTATAGCACTTAACAAGTAATATTGTTTCGGAAATGTTCGTGTCGCGAGACTCGAAAAACCTGTTAACGCGAGTCAAGTAATCTCGCGAAGGGAAAAAGTTCGATCGCTCGCCCCAACTTGAGGAATATGTCGTGGATGAGCAGCATCGTAGGAGAGTCATAAAGTGACGACGAGGGCAGTCGTAGTGCGACCAAACGTCTGCTTTTCTCCTTCCAGCCTGCGGATCTTGTCTCGGTTTTTACATCTGCGAACAGCAAATCAAAATTTGCGTTTATTTTACGCCGTTTAGCGCTTTAAACTGCAAAATTTTCGCGCTGTTAATAACGCCGGGCGTTATTCAGTTTCATGAATTATTTCAAGAAAATTATTAATTTTAAATAACTTTATATACGAGGAAACGATTTCAACATGGTTAAATATTCGCTTATATATATATTATCTGTGGCGTATTAAAATTTGCAAAGAAATCTTTTTATAACTGCAAACGTTCCGAGTTTTTCCTTCCACCCTCTTAATCGCGGGCAAGATGTGATCATTCTGGACGATCACGTCGCGGGAGAAAAGGGAGCACCAGCTCTGCGTTCCAAATCCCTACTTTCATGATAACTATACGCCTTTTAACCCTTTGTCGTCGTCATGGAAGAGCGGCGAAAATGGCAGCGCTCCTCGAGGATCGTCGCCAAACGAGTATTTTTATGAATTATGTTGCTATAAAAGAAAGTGTTCCACGTCGTTGTAGACCTATAACCGCCGCACTCCGCTCCACAACGAATATTATGTCGCGGTCGTGATCTGCGTCTGCGAGGGACGGTAACGGATCGAGGGTAATTTCGCGGGTCCCTAATGAATTCTTTCTGGCCGAGTAGATGTTATCAGCCGGTGCGTAAAACCAAGAGAGGACCCTTCCTCGAACGGCCGTTGATATTTCGGGCAAATCGCTGGCATTACGTTGATTGCTTTTGAAACAATCTCTGAAATGTCCTCGCGGCAATTTTTCACGCGACGTATTTGTTATATTTGCACAGTTGTATATTTGTTGAGAGCGTGCGTGCGTGAAGACGAATAAATAATTACGAAATCAACTCACTCGGCGATTCGCGTTTGCACGTACACGTTTGTCCGAGTTCAGTTCGAGACAGATACATGTTTGTTTGCAAGAAACCGTTGTATTAAAGCTATTACGTTACGATCGAGGGTCATAAATTACATTACGATATCGGGGGAACATGCGCGAGATATTTCGATAAGGAAGGCAAGAAGGAAAGGTAGCTCGTGCAGGAGGTCTTGTTATCGTATTGGAACTCGTTGCTATTTCGATGGGGAACAAGTGCAAAAGAAAGAGGCAAAACTGGATTGGAATCGTCGGCTTTATATACACATATATGTAACACATATATCGCGCGAGGGAATCGTAGGAAGAGAGAAGTCGTGGAAACCGGGTCGGCGAGTACTATCGACGGAATGAAGAGCTTAATCCAAGTGGCTTAAAAATTATTTAATCTTCCCGGCCTCTATTTTCTTATTATCCCCGCTTCTGTCTGCTGCCGAGAGACGAATCGCCGGACGACAACTGTTCAAAGATAGCGGCGTAAGTACGCCGTAGATATGCCAAGGAGACGACGAAATTGCACCGTATTTCCGCACAAAATAGAATTTATGCAGGCAAACGTATAGTGCAGTTGCGTCAGGATAGAACCGTGTCTCGCTACAAAGGGACGTATGCTTCTGCCCGGCAACAAAACCCGAGTAGAGGCACTGCAGAATTCATAGGGAACGATAGGGAAAACGTAAAGCGTTAGAATTTATCGATAATATGCCGAAAACGATATGCGGCCGCTGAAATATCCCGACGTGCACTCGTAGCGTTATCCGCTGGATCTCCCTTGTTCTCGAGATACCGGCGTACCCTTCTGTACATCATCAGCATTCCTCCCTCGAGATACTTATCCGTCCCAGGCGGAGGGACGACGCGCCGACTGTCCTCGGCAACATTTAAACGACGCCGAAATACGAGCCCGTCGTTTTCGCCCCATTTGCGTAGCCCTGTCACGGCGAAGTCTCGCGATTTCGTTAATTACGAAATTCTGCGCTTCAAACGAGCGTCGTACCGAAACTTTCGACGAAGTTCCGTCCGTCAACTTTCGCACGTTCCGCGCCGTTGCTCGTCTTGCTTGGCGCGCGTACACGCACAAGCGCGAGGGGGCCCGCGCGTCAAAGTTTTTCGTTCGCCAGAGAAATATTCAAAAGTATACAGTTCGACTTGCGCGTACGCCTACGTGTGTGTATGCATATGTACACAAAGTGGTTTATTAATAGGAGGCAACGCGCGCGGGGTCGAGCCTCGACTTTCGAAGATAAACGAGAAGACACATAGAATACAGTCATATGCGTGGAGTAAAATTGGAAGAGCAAGAGAGAGAGAGAGCCGGATGGAGGAAAGGCGGCGCGGAATATAAGCGAGTAGAATTGTGTCGCTGTCGCGGCAAAAAATGGAAATTCCAGTCACATAAAATACGACGTACGGGTATAAAGAACTTGGAGGACTTGAATTACAAAGCGAGAACCGTATATCCGGCTGTTGCACGAAGTCGGGACATGGATATGGCGAATCTGACAAACGTGCGCGTCTGAGAGGAGGGATCGTTAGAAAGTATCATTAATACATTTCGCCGTGCGTTTTTTAGCCTAACGATAACGTAAAAGAAAAAGGTGCATCCGCATTAATTACATTTTCCCCGATCGTTCCACGTGTGTGACATTAATAGGATACTTCGACGATAAATTTGTATTGCAATTTCGCCACTCGAGATGCGCGCGCGTTCGTAATCACAAATGCAGCATTTTATCTGTTTATTTATTCAGTCAAATTGAATTGAGCGATTCCAATCTTGCGAGAGACAATGCTGCAAGTGCGGAATAACAATAGTATTTTTCCCCGTGTAACATATATTTCTCTATAACATTTTTTTACTGATTCTACTTTCAACATTTGTCCCCGCGCGTACGATGTTTAGCAACAGTTTCTCGGTCATCCTATATTTCACGTCCATTAAAAACTGCGCTTTTTTCCCCGCAACGAATGTTTGTTATAACGTTTAATGCGTCTCATATACAATAATAAGAACTTTATTCGGGGTACCGGCGTTTGTTTGCCAGCACGCCTGTTTACATTTAATTCCATTTCGACACGATACTCCGTAATCATGCCCGCGATAATCTCGAAGCTACCCGCGCCGATATTAACTTGGTCTCTAAACGATATTTGCTCGTTTTATCGCGTCGCACGCGATGCGCGCGGTGTGCATTTATTAGAATCGGCGCAATCACATCGAAGCATCGAGGCGCGGATGCATTAACGTCGTCCCGCGACGTCACATTTATGCTCTTCTCCCCCTCCCCCAATGCCTTTACGTTCTTCGACGCAACAATGCGCCGGACGCATATTGCATCCCGTCCCGACGTCCCTTGTTTCTCGGCATCGCGACAGGGTCTGCCCTACGATTTATTAGATGTATAATTACCAGGCATGTATCCTATATGCTCTGGATTTATGACGTCCCCTTCTTACGCGAGGATCAGTTGCAACGAGACTCGCACTTAATTAACAGGGTTACTTCGCGATTGAAGTAACGATATATATATATTTTTTAAGTGAGTATCTCTAATTAGCCACTCGATCCGCAAATATCTTTTTATACGTCAACTGCATCCTTTAGTTTCTTAAGTGACTCGTCAACCTTTTTAGTCTTAATAAATTTCTCAGATAGTTAATTGCACGAGATTAACGTTAATCTAGATTGACGCGAGCGATTCTAAGAGATAACAAAGATTTATTTATAGCGCTCGTCTATTCATATTCCGCGCTCGTAGCAGCAATCGATCGACGGAACTTGGCGACGAGCGACATTCATCCTTCCCCGATGCTGCGAACGGAAAGTTACTTTCAATGCGACGCGACTCGATCACCGCGAAAAGAAACGTTGCGCAACGAACGATGGTTTTTCCAGGTGAAGCCCGATTCGGAGCAACACTTCGAGCAGCACGGGCTATACTCGACGATATCGAGTCTACTTCTCGAGCTGGAGCCGGGTCATCTCGCCGGCGACAAGATAAACGTCAGGTAATTTCGGTGTTTACAACGTGCCGTATATTTCCGTCGTTCGACAGAGCCGTTGCCTATGGCGCACACTCCCTATAAATATACATCGCACTTGCCCGCGAATAGGGTAGCTCGTTTTACGCGAGTTTCGCGCGATGGTGCGCGATAATTTATCCTAACGTCTGGCCGGCCGGCTCCGAAACGATGATCGAATCGTCTTGTTGCAGGTGCGAATCGACGGTACAATCGAGTCACGACAACGATCCGTTCGTCGACGTTCGCAACACCGAGGTCTACGGTAAGCCCACGTGACACTACAGTAATATAATCGGCGAACGAGTCGCGATCGAAGAGATCACTCTCTACTCTGGGGAAAAAAAAGACAGTTAAGCAACCCTTATTGGGACCCACAATTAGGAATCGAATTATTTGGATTGTCCGTAACTCTACTCTGGGAAAATTTTTGATCGTTTTTGTAGTTAAGCAACTTAACATTTTGATTAGTGCCTCTTAAGTGAAACTTATCGTTGCGTTACTGAATATCGACAGAATTCTAATTGAGAGAATTGATTAGTATTATTTTAAAATCTTGGATACCTATAGATAGAATAGCTAATTGCGATTTTTAGTTACGCGGGGTAAAATTCATTAAATTAGAGTTACGAACAATCCAAATAATTCGATTACTAATTGCAGGTCCCAAAACGGGTTGTTCAAACTGTCTTTTTTTTCCCAGAGTAAAAGTCAGTGGATTATCACTGAAAACAGTGAATACTCGCTGATTCGCAGTTATAAAGGCCCGTGTCCACGATAAAAGAAACTTTGCCCAAGTTCTAGTTTTGAGAAATGAGTAGCCAATAAAATTGCAGCTATTCCATAACAGCTGCAAGTTGATTTGCTACACATTTCTCGAAATTTCGAGCCTTCACTGAATTATTCATGCTATACTTACAACTGTTTCTAGTGATAAGGTACGGGTTGACTTTTAGAGAGCACGTGGACGAAACGAAGACTCGCGATTATAGACGCGGTCGAGCCCGAATATGATTATTTCAAAAACAACCTTTCGGCTAAATTGAATAACCGAGTGAGAAAGAAGAATTTGAAATTAGCGTCTGACTAATATACAATTTTGGCTGTTGTAGAGTTAATTTTAGGTACAATATGGAAAGTGTCAGAGATAGAAATATATATAATTTAATATCCCGTGAAACATAATAATGAACAAACGTTTAAACACTTGCATAATCAGAATTATATCTACAGAGCTAATATTTATGTTTAAATTGTCCGCTTTATGTCTACGTGTACTATTTTACTAAACGGAAAATGCATACGACATACGTGCGGTAAACTGACAAATTTAATAATCATAATTCAAAAATTTTAATCACATATATAATTTGATATAGCAAAGTCTGAGAATAAATCGCATGTTTGTAATATGAGAACAAAATTATTTGCATTCGCGATATTTCGACCTTTATTAAATTACTGTGAACGAGAATGCGTATAATCAAATAATAAATCATCGTGTGGCAGAAATGGGGAAAATTTGAAAACAAGGAAAACTAGTGCGAATAAGATCTAATAACCCGATTGTGCAATATGGTTAATAATAATGTAGAGACCTACGATACTTTAATATTATATTACAACCTGAATATTAATATAATTGAGTATCGAATATGATTGAAGTTGAAGACGTTTGGTACGCGAAACTCATTCTTCATTGCATTTGAAAAATATATAAATTAAAAATGAAATTCCTGATAGTATATCTAGGATATTCTTCAATAATCGCGTTGTATAAATTAGGAACATTGAAATCGTAATATTTAATGCCAATTTCGTGCCAAGTAGGACAGCGAGGGCAAATGGAGCTGTGGCCACGATTAAGGGTGTTTGTACTTGACAACAAGTTCGGTTATCGATACGCCGCACATTTCTTTCGAGGTAACCACTCGCGGAAGTGTGCGCGCTTTATTATTTCCTGGCATGCGAAATTAGCATGGGACCGGCGTTACAACGGGGCCCGACTAATCGACCGACTCGGTTCCCGCGGGGAGCAAGGGTTGCGGAGAAATTAAGACAATAATTTACAACCGTTACCACCTGCCCTCGCAACGCGCTCTCACCCAGCTGCACCTGCACAGTCACTTTATCCTTTCCTTCGCCGCGCCCCACCGGATTCGCCCGCGACCGCGTGCATTCGCGTTATCGTTCTAATTCCCACTTAAATTAGTTTCGACCACTTTTCGCTCTCCTCTCCTTGCCGCCCCGCATCTTTGATATCCAGGGCACCGTTACAGAACAATCGATAAGCAACAACCATATACTTGTAATAAGTGCGAAATTACGGCGGCGCGCGAAAGCAGCTCGTTTCCCTCGCACGGGGTGTCGCCGATGGGGAAAGTCGGCGGGGCGAACCCGGGGATGAAGGGGCGAGGGGGGAAAATACGTGATTCATCAGATCGTATACAGCGGTGTGTCTGTATGCACTCGCGTTCCCGACCAACAACGCTCTCGGCAATGCTCGGCGCAACGCGCGATTAAATATTTATCAACTAATCCCTCGCGTCACGCAATTCGAGTTACGATAAGAAATTCACGATTCGCGCGCGGCGTTACAGCGCGCGGTTACGCACGCGCGCGCGCGCGTCCACCGCTCGCGGACACCGGGCGTATGCCGATATACATATATCACGAGAGTTTTACCGCAATAGTATTTTTCGGCTCGCCCGATGGACCATAAATCGACTTTTCGCGAGAGCACTCGTTTACACGCGACGCGGCGGCAATATTTCCTGGCGATGTAAGCAGACTATTTTTCGTGGGAACGCACAGACACTCGCAGTTGACTGCTCGTTGAAATCGCAATGGTAGCATGCGAGAGAGAACGGGTGTGCATGCGTGCGTGCGTGTGAGAGAGAGAGAGGAGACGCGCACGCGGTGTAATTCACGCCCGCAGCGTCGTGCTCTCGATTCGGGTCAATTTTGTCAGAATGAGCCACCGCGGCCGATCAGCCAACGATTCACACCGTTGCGAACGCGCATATCTCTCTTTTATTAGGGCCACAAAGGTAATCAACGATTTACCGCATTTGTATACGATTGTGTTCGCCGGTCGAAAAATACGTCGGAAAATACGCGACCAGCGGAACACCTGCCGCGGACGCGGACATACTTTTTTATTTTCGTAATTTAGAGGGTGTTGTGTTACGTATCGCGTTCTCTATTTTTGTAAATTATAGCCGGTATATTATGGCCGAATATCGGCGTTAAGGTATCGGAAACTGGTAAATACACAGGTGACGCAAATTGAACAGCATATTGTTTTAAGAGATAATCGATAATTTATTACATCGCGGTACAATTGGCCGGCGATAAAGGTGGTGCGTCGGAAATTAGACTGCTTGTTTGAATAAAGCGAAAGGAACGGTACGACGCGAGTGAGACAATTCGGGTGTATTGCGCGTCGCGAGAGCGTCGCGAAATTTCTTCCAACAATACGCGCGACAATTGCATTCCGATTAGAAGGTAAACGTTTTCGATTCGACGACGATGCGCGATTTTTGAGAATGCATCGCGAGGCCGTGACGATCGTAACGACTCATGCATTACGAATGCGCAACGAGAATGATCAAATGTGCGTTAGCTGCACGCCGTCGCGTCACGCCGCGCAATACAAATCCCGCGGGCGGGCGAAGGGAATTACAATGCATATAATACCCGGCATTTGACTAGCTCCACGTATAACTACGCTATTGTAAACCGACAAACATTTCGGTGCATACAAACGCGGCCTAGTTATCGGGGATATTTTGCCGTTGTGCCGCACGGTCTGGAAATATTCGAGTCATAAGTCGAGCCAATTCCCACATTGTTAGTTAACGCGCGAGACACGTTTCGCACCAAAATTCCTATGAAAACGCTAGTTGTAACTTTGACCCGCTTAATTTTGCGAAATAGCGGGATCGCGGTGCCGAGCGTAGTAAACCGGAGTTTTTCACGAATTTGAAGAAAATGAAAATATCCATTCCGCTAATCTATGAATAATTCATGCATTTACTTGCCGGGTAATAGCGCTCGATGTTAATCTTTACAACGTTCGCCGTAATCGTACCCGATTATATTTACCGCAAATATTATCGGGAATGCCTATTATAACGAAACGCGAGGAAGAGACGCATGCTTTTATCGTCGCTAGATACCCAAATGGTACTCGGCCTAATTGCATAAGTGGGCCTCCGAATATCGACCGGGCGAGCCGAGTCGCTGCACGACACGGGGTAAAAGGGTAAAAGAAATAAACGCGAAGGGGCAACGGACACGCGGGGGGGAGAACAAGGGGGGAAAAGGAGATGAGAGGGAGCGAGACGGCCGGTGTGCCGGTCGGCGGAGCCAGGTCGAACGGAGCCGGTGTAGGAAAGAGAGGACAGGTAAAAAGAGGCAAGGCAAACCGGAAAAGACGTCGAACGACTCGAAGAAATTGCTCTTAACGATCTTCGATTTTCTCGTTAGGCGGAATCGTTCTTGGAAGCGCCCTACGCGACGGCCGGCGTCGCTACGCCTCCTGCATTTACCGCCGAGCTGGCTACCTATAGCTCGAACCTCTGCCAACTATCAGTTTTCTTTCTATCAGCGGCCACCTTTCGTCTCCCCGTGTCACTCCCCCCCCCCCCCGCCAACCCTTCTGTGCAACCTCTCGAATTATCCTTCCGCACCCCCTTTCCTTATTTCTCCTTTAACCCAGTCGCGGCTTAACTCGGTCACGACTTTGTCGATTCTGCCGAAAGGCGCCCTTCCCCCCTCCCAGTTCGGCCGGCTTTAATCTATTTTAATCGGACGGGATGAGTTAATTTTAAAATGTCCTCGTAATTTTACTTCTGTGTACTTTGTTAGTTATGTAATTATATTTGTACTCTGTCGAGTAGAATTAAACCGCGGACATTTATTATGCGCGAGATCTGTATATCTGTCGTTACTAATTTATGACAAAACGTACGGATGCATTGTCACGCGAAAACATAATTCGTTTAAAGAGTTAAAATATTTTGCAGCGACGTACGTATTTAAACAGTTTTATTTTCGTACATTTTTAAGTTATCATGAAAACTAAAACTGAAGCCGACAATTTAATGTAATTAACGAGTGTCGTTTTTGTATCAATAATTCGATCTGAAAAAGCGACAAAGTAATTGGATGCTACACAGTTGGAAAATTTGTCTCCTTGTTAACAAAATGCCGGTTAAAATTTTTATGTTAAATGTTTAACACGTTCATGTGTTAATTTAACACATTGCTCTTGTGTTAATTGACCTCAAATGTAAAATTATTGAAATACCTGAAAAGAAATGTTAAAACAACACAATGTATACTTATTGTTTAATCTTACACAATACATATGTTCTATATTATTAGTAACAAGATTTATCTGTTCAAATTTACAGAATAAAATGTTGAGTTTATTCTATATATAACATAAGTGAGAGTGATTTCGAACCGTCATTTGACTTATTATATCTGTAAAATGTAAAAATTATATTTTTAAAATTAATTTTGTCATTAAAAGTATGTAACTTTTACACAAAATTTATTTCAAATTATTTTAAGATTTGCATTTATGTTGTGTTAAAATATTAACAGCTAGGGTATTAGTGTGATTATTGAACATATCCATATTATGTTAAATTAACATATTAAATTAACACAAAAATTTGTGTGGGCCGTTTGGGACATGTGATATCTGTTAAATTTAACACGAATTTCTTAACTGTGTACGATAAGAAGCAAAAATTGCGGACGGACACTTTAGAGTGTGAATACATCGGGATTTCACTACTGGTTTTTTTTTTGCAAAAATCACGGGCAAACCTGTGACAGAGCTTCAACAAATTCGATACAGATGGAAGTGACCCTCGTGCATATCTCTTCTCCTGCAGTGCGTTGCCCCCGTATAGAAAACGGAAAGACCGTACGCGTAACTTCATTCTTTTCGCAAATAATACCGAAACGCAGCGAGAGTGAGCCGACAATAGCCCCGGCTGGGTTATGTCGACGGCTGATATTGTATTTCTCTTTATGTTTCCGGAATGAGTCGAATGCCGTTCCTTTCGAAGCGCGGATAGAAATACCGCACGCATTCGTTCGTTCATTCGCCCCTGGTGAAAAAGGGGGGAAAGAACGTGGAATAAATCTGAAAAAAAAAACTGTATCGAGTAGACGATTTTCAGTAGCTCAATAGGACCTCCGAGTTATGTCATATGAATGACTAGCATTGTCTGTCTGTTTACTTTGCCTGAATAGCGACCACATTGTTTCCCTTTGCACGCGATGTATGACGGTCAAGTTGTCACGCCCGTGATTCCCGCGTTTTCTACGTACGCGGGAATATAGTGCAGATTTTCGGTCGGTTTTATATCTCGGTTGAATAATTTCTCACCTTGATGAAAGCATTGGATGATTTTATACAATTTTCACACAAGTTTTGATATGCCTGAGAAAAAAAAGCGCTTCGGCTTCTTAGTATTTCCCTTTAAATCAGTTTTGAAATATGTCTATCATATTCTACATAAACCCTTATGAATACAGGAAACTCTTTTGCGTTAAAAACTTTTTTTTACGTGGTACACGTATTCGTAATTCATCATACATATGCAGCATATTGATTTTTTTATATTGTTCAATGACTTCTGGCCGCATTGTGCTGTTAAAGTTTTACGGTTTTGCGCGTGTTTTAGCGAAGTCGAAATAGGATAAGAGCATAACTAGAACGAGGGAGCTGTCATCACATTAAGAATGCGTAGTAGCGAGTACAAGAATAAGGACGCCGTTTGCGAAGTCGTTCATCTCGTTACGAAATGTATCCGAAAGTTACACACGTTTCAGCTAAACTACCGTTCCTTCAAAGAAAACTAGCTTATCGAGTTATGTATCTCGAGGCACGTGCGTGACGAAGGTGACGATACCGATTCTAGGCTTCTGTCAGTCTTCTGTGCGTCTTCCGAAAAAGCCTATTTAAAATCCGCAACTCCTATTGTAAATTCTGCGAATAGATTATCTACTCTATTCAATGCATGCAAACTTATGCAAATCTTTAAATTATGTATTCAGGTTTCTTTTTGAGATATCATGTGTTACATCGAAGCTTTATAATTACTCAATTAATATTTTCCGAACTCCGCCGTTTCCGTATATAAAAGAAATATGTGATTTATGTATAGCTCCAGGAATTATATAGCACGCTATATTTTGCGCTGCTTTTCCCTGTACAAATAAATCAGTTTACCAGCCAAAAAAATCGTGATTTGGGCCGATAAACCTATTTATTTTTACATCAAAACCAGCTCGAAATATAAATCATTATATAATTTCTGAAGTTATGTATAGATTCCATATTTCTGAATATCCCTTTTTAGTTCCATATTTCTGAACATTTCTCGATTCCATATTTTTGGCTATCTATTTTCTTTTTATGTTTCCTTCATCAATAATATGTTAACGGAGCTTGTACGAATTAAATTGTCCTACACATTACAACGTAATCTTCGCTTATATATCTGATTGTAGTTCGAATAATTAAATGTCATAATTAACATTGCACTGTCACTCACGTTGTAATCTTTCTTCCGCGAGACGGAAATTCAATTGTCACTGCAATGAATTAGCACGAGTATACAATGATTTAGCAAATAGCAACGTATCCGTGATAATTTTCTCGTTGACGATGAAGAGAGAATTTTAGTAATTTAAGCACACGATAAATTCTCATCATCCAGCTGTTTTATCGATCCATCCAAATAGATAGGAAAAATCGCGGAGAGAACGACTTGCGCTAACAACTTTTCTTCATTATTTCAGTTCAAGGTCTCGCCACCCTGACGACACCATCGTTATGTTTGTTGATGGCTGCGGTATTACAACGATTTCTGCTACCCGTGTAGACCCTTCCGGCCCAATGAGGGCATCGAGACGATCCGAGAGGAAACAGGAAGAAAACTGATCACGGAGGAAACGAAAGGCGAGGGACGACCAACGTTTCGTGACGAAAGACAATCATATCTTAATACGAAGCGAACTGCGACGAGAGATCGGGAGATTCGCGTCAGATTTGTTGATCGTTATCGCATTTATGGCGAACGGCCACGCGTCCTTACGATTTTTGCACGTCGCTGCGCCTTCTCGTTAGACCGGAGGAGATTCGAGTTAAATAGGTATCGACCCACTCGTCGTTGCTCTCAAGAGTCCCCCCACCCTCCTTCCACCTCCGTCTCCCCGCACGCGTAAAAACCTAGATAGTCCAATTAACTACGGAAGAAAATATACGATAACCAAGTGGACAACCACCAAGTTCTCGCACGTGCGAGGAACTCTTCCTCTACGCTCGTTTATTCTGTTAGGATCGATATCTGCGTCGTTACTCGTGAAATAGATTCAAATCGGCCGCACCCGGGAGTTCAAACTCTCGATAACGAGAAGGAACTTTTTGAACTTTCCATCTTAACGATATAAGTTGGAAAATGAACTGATTCTGCAGCCGTAAAATAAAATTTGAATAAAATTTCATTAACAAATTATTACGGGTTCGACAGGAATTGCCAATTTGAACGTCACTTGATTCCACTACATAAAATAAAGCATTGATTTTTACTTCCTTCGGTAGTTTGAACCCCGTGAATCTTCATTTTTTTAACGTATTATTTTGTCAATACTTTACAAAGGATGAAGGTAAGAGGTCGATCGGAATCACGGGTGAAGAGCGAGATTTTGCACCCAGGACGAAAGGAAGAAGAGTAAGTACCTCAATACCATACCTGAAGTAACACTCCTGAGCTGATCAAAAATTAAAAATCCACATTAAGAGAGTTTAACGAGCTAAAAATGCATCCGGTGCGGAAAATGGCGTACATCGATTTCCACGTGCAATTTTCGTTACGATGCAACACTTTTGACGACGTAACATTTTCCCGTTGGTATAATAAGCATGCAAATCTCACAATTGTTTTCGATTTTCAATCTTCTCGCTTATATTTGACTTGTGAGTTATCGTGAAAACAGTTTAAAAGTAATCTGAATAAAGGACAGAAATAACAATGTATACGGAAAAAATGTCTCGGGGAAAGTAGTTAAAAAAAAAACGGTACATAGATAACTTTCCGCATAAGGTATTGCAAGGTTTTATTTCCCAAATTTTTCCGCGAACATACAAATTTGCAACCAGGAGAAATCCATTTGGAGAAGCGTCGAGAACGTTGTACCTCAGGGTTCGAAAATCTTCTGAGCGTGATACCGTTGTCAGTGATAACGGGTGCAGCAGTTGTCGTTGGGATGCAATCGGTATCGATTATATACGTGCCGCGGCCGAATGTAAATATATACAACACCTAGGTAGACATACATTTTCATCGAGCCCCGTCGTAAGCTTCCTTCATTCTAATTATAACTTTTAATTGATACGTGTAATTAATATAATAAAGCCAAGAAGAAACTCGCGGATCTCCAATTGCACGGGCACCTACCCTTCTTGCCGCATAATACATTATCACGCCGAAAAAACCCGCTAAATGGATAAGTGCAAAAACGAAGAACCTCCACCGTTAGGATGAACAGTAATCCTGAAAAGGATTGCATTTATCACCACGGGAAAGGATACAGGATACGTTACAAAATCTTGAAAGAATTTATTCATTGTTATACAAGATGTCTATATAGATAACGAATGCTTCAGTTTCCATCATTATCGTGCCACATGTCCATAATTGATCCAAGAATCATTAAAATTCATGTTACATTTAAAATGGAAAATTTAATAAACATCGTTGTTGGATGAATTTACAAGAGCGAAGTGGAGAAGAAGCATTTATGTCGCAGCTAATGTTTTACTTTTAATATTTCGGAAAACATTTAATTACTTTTTTATATATTTAACTTTGATCGAAAAGACACAGAACAAAATTTACACAAACACCGGAACTGTAATTTATTCATAATTTCGTGCAATATTTGGCTAACCGATCATGGATACGAAATATCAATGGACACACGTTACAATACGTAAATTCGCAAATCGAAAATCACAGTCCTGTGAAAAGTTAAAGGAGCCCATTGGCTTCCTGTTTGCCCTAGGCATTTCGACACCTGCGAGATCGTACAACGCATAAAATGCGTAACAAACATCGGAGCTGCAGCGTGCGCGAAGTGTTTATTTTTTTTTATCGCGTAAACACACACATGTATATAAACATATATGCACGAAACGACAGCAGCCGCCATCAACGATCGCGAGCGATCGGAAAATATGATTCATACGTGTAAGCCGATTAATTTACAAAGTTCAACGTACACACGGCTGACGTAGATATTTATACAGGACTCTCCGCGGAAATGCGTTATTTTTTCACCCGAGATTAATAGTTGTTACATTTCCGCGTCCCACTGTGTTTTCATATGTCTCGCTGGTACAGTCGTGCGTCGTCGCGATCGACAGGTCGACGGTAAATAAATAAACGTTCACGTAATAAATATGATAGTCAGATTTTCGAAGTAGAGCGTAAAACCCATTACATTCGGAGGACATCGAGGTCCCGACGAAGAGGATTTACGCCCGAAACTAGGACGCTAGTCCTCACGAGAACATTAGATGAGAGGATATTCGCAGACTACGATTAAGATACCGCTCATTAAAGTTCAGTTAGACGCGCTTCCGAGAGGACGATTCGATAAAATATTCAATTCGAATCCCGGAGGGTTGTGCGAGCGATATCGGTCTTTGCCTTCATCGTGAATACAATCATCTTCCGTAATCCACGGGAAAGCCGCTCGTAACTGTACGCGAAACGATAATAGGGGAAGCCTTCGTACACATTTCCGCGTATGATTTCGCGTCCGTTAGTCTTATTATTGCAATTCTCAGTTATTCAAATTTCCAGTTTGCATTCAGGATTTCATAAGGGGACATCGGTGATGAAGCGTACTGAAATGTTTGTAGACGCGCACGCAGGAACGACGTTATTCGCTCTTTGTCTCGCTTTTCCTCGATGCGTTTATCGACGACAGGGCGCAACAAACACAACCGTTAAGCTCTTCCAGTTCCACGCTTCCCGTTTCGGAATCGATAACTTTCTAGATAACAGTAGCAAGGTCTCGCGATCGTGGGATTGTTCGCAGGATGCGCCGCGTTTATACGAGGAGTCGCGTGAAGCTGTAAAGAGGAATGGGAGAGTGCGCGGTCGTTCGTTTATGGCAATTTCGTGCTGGGATTCAGCATCGCGCTCGGTCTGCCGTTGGTTCGAGCACGAGCGAGACACGTTTCGCCACCGCAAATACAATTTGCGGGGCGAAGAAAAGATCGTTCATATGATTTTAGCGAGTTATTACAGCGCGCGCGTGTGAAAGGTTCTGCGTGATCGGGGTGTCTCTTTGGCATGCAAAAGACCCGCCGGAACTTTAAGGAGGGAGGCGAAGTTTCGAGTTGGGGATTTATCATTAATTCTCAGCAACGTGCTGCGTCATGGCTTAAGAAGGTAACACGTCATCACGACAGTACAAAGGTATATATACCGTATTAATTACGTATACGTATAATTGTACGTCACCGCACATTCATCTGCGTCGATCCCTTTTTTTTTATGCGGCTCGTAATTGTTATCGGACACGCGGTGGCGCAAGTGAGTGGCTAGAAAAAATTTCGATATTTCATACGGTTGAGCCTTGACATCGAAATAATGTAAAAAGGCAGTTGTTTCAAACATGAACGCTTATCACTGATTAAAAGTGCAGGGCACAGAGGAAGCGAGACAAATAGTCGAAACGATCGCTCCGATCGTTCCGGGTTTAATTGGTAAATCAGCGCAATTCTCTTCCGTATAGTTATCATTTATGTTTATCAGAGCGGGACTTTTGAAATAATGAATACAGAGTCGGACGTTTTAATATCTCATCTGGTATGAGAAATTCCGCTGCAGATGGCGACGCATAAAGCTCCGCATTACACTCACCGTCGTTATTTGCGAGCTCCAATTATCACACTTTCGCCATATAGTTAATAAACTTCGCCGGCACGGTTACCCGCACTCGACGTAACAAAAACTGTACATAGCTGATACGTCTTTTCTGATTACGACAGGAGAACGCGAGGCACTCCGCATTTACATATTCCGGCGAGCAGGCTTTAGCTTTTCATTTGCTTTGAAGTGTCGTTGGGCGGCAGTATGTTTTACATCTTATCGGGGACATATCTCCGATATTTACGGCGGCGTTGGCCGAGTAAAAAAAATTGTACATACCCCTTGTATATAAGTGCGCTGTAATGTATAATAGTAAGGGTTACCCGAGGGGAGGACCGAAGGACTTCGCACGGAAGTCTCGTGTGTGATTAAACGGATGCGGGGATGTCAATCTCGCGTCCGGCAGGAGGATAACGGAAGTATTTAGCCATATTGTGAAAGTGTGTTCAAATGGCGTGTCTCGAGTGTCGCGGGACATTGCCGGTACAGATAAGGGATATACGCGAGGAGGCGCAAACGCGCCCGTATCTTTGCTCGCGAGGCGAGACGTGTAGTTATTAAAACCCTCCCCAAAAAAAGAAAAATAAAGACGATGTACTCGGTGTTAGCTTTCAGTTGTAACGAGCTTCTGGACACACACACACGACATACGTACACACACATACAGACACACGTGCATACACGTACAGTAAAAACGCCGATGCGGAAATAAATATATGTACCTCTGTATACACCTGTGTTTTTAAGGCGGTAAACGCGCGAGAGACTCCTCGCCGTCACGACGCGACGACGAGGAGTCGCGCGTGGCGTTCCGCTCATTGAGATATCAGGAACCTAGGAGAAGGATTACGTTCTTATATATATATGGCCTAATGTATATATCTCGCGAATTTAGTAATAAATCATATTTCATTATACCCGCGGCCTTTATTACCCCGAAAGCCCATAAATTGATATTGAAAAGCGTGTAACATTGATGATTGCCAAGGCGCTGATGTAAACCCTTTGCAGTTTCAGG